ACTTCATCCACGGTTGCGTATCTTTTGAATTCCACATAAATATTCTCGTTTTCCCAGGGTAGGTGTATATATATATATATATACAGGGATGGGCAAAATACATGCAAATACGTATCGAAATACAAATACAAAATACTTCGTCAAAAATGTATTTAATTACAAATCTAATTACAGTTCCAAAAAAGCATTTAAATACAAGATACAAATACAACCAAATGTATTTGGTCTCCTCCAAATACTTTTCCAAATACATTCCTCAAAATCTGCGTCAGCGACTTGAGGGCACCTGCAACGGGTTTCTGGGTATCTCATTTTAATTTTGCATCGCACACTCGGGAGTTATAGCCCCTTCCCCTGGCAAATAGCGAGCGCTCGGCAGGCGCTCGCCGAGCGGATTCTTGTTTCCCTCGCGAGATGCGAGCAATCTCTCCGTGTGCCGCTTGTAGATCTGGAGCCAGTGGGGCGCTCGCCGAGCGGCTCCAACCGCTCCGTGGGAAAGTGGCGGAGCGCGTCGAGCGGTCCGGAGTAGTTCTCCGCGCAGGCTTTTTCAGAGGAGTACGATCTGTAGTCGCAACATTTCAGTTTCGATTTCAACGTTCTGGCGACCGGCGAGGGAGTGAGGGATTTTCGCGGCTTTTTGGTTTCGTTTGCTGGGTAGGCTCTCTTCTTGTGCTCGCTTTCGTTCCTCGATCTCGTCATGACCGACTCGACCGAGAGTACTGCGGCTTTGGCGTCGTTGCAGTTAATTTTAGGTCTATTAGAAAGCAGTGACAGCAGTGACAGCGAAAGCAGCGACAGCGACGAAGACGACGGAGATACAAGCTCCTCCAGCTCGAGTGACGACGAGGCAGCCGTTCTCGGCGAAGTGTTCGCCGAGACGTTCGCCTTGCCAGCGAAGAGGCCCAAGATAACCCGTTATGTCGAAGACGTTGTGCGCGCCTATTCGGATGAAGAGGTATGTCGTTTCTTCGTTGTGTGGTCTCTGTGAACCGACCATCTCCCTGTGTTGCAGTTCCGACGCAACTTTCGCCTCCAACGGGAGCCCGCCTACGCCGTGATCGAGAGGTACGAGCGGTCTGTATATTACAGGGGATCGATTCACGGAGGGTCCAACCCGAAAACCGCCGAAGTTTGCATCCTCTCTTTTCTCTGGTAAGACATGTTTTGTAGGTCTCAATGTAGCTAGGAGAAAGATTGACCGATTTGACCAACGATTTCCGATCCAGCCCATATTCCCCATACATATACTCCTGGCACGGTAGTTGTACTGTAGATATGCCGCGGCGGTCACAAAATAGAAGCACGAAAAAATACAAAAGAAATGGAGACCCACTAAAAGCCGATAACTATATATGTATATTAATTGAGCATATTAAATTGACTTTGGTAATTAAAAGTCAAATCATTGCGTCTTTTTATTAATGCGGTTTATTATTGTCTTTTTTTGCTAACATCAATTACTTCAATATCTAAGGAAAAAACAACTTTGAGACATAGGGACAAAAATTGGAACAACACAATACTCTCAAAACTCAGCCGACTCAGCTGCAAAATGTATTATCACGCGTCTTCTTTCTAGGAGGACACAACTCCCCAAACAACGCTAATGCCAACAACCGTGGGGGGTTAACGGTTAGTTGGCATTACCGTTGTTTGAGGAGTTGTGACCTATAAAGGAAATGTGTGGAAATAAACGTTGTAGCTGACTTTTTAAACAGTAGAGAAGAAACATCAAAACGTAGAAGAGACAGAAAAAAAGACAGGATGATGTGTCAAATTCCGCTAATTCGTCTATTTAGTCCAGCTCTTAATCTCAAGGTCACCACCAACACAAAGGGACAAAGACTATACAGGTCAAGCGCCTAGTCTACATCACACAATGTAAGAATGTGGACAACCTCACAGGTTGACGCAATAAGGCAACATCCATCCTTGAACTTCAACTTCAACAATAAAATCTTTCTCCGCGCTATTGCACTTTATAATATCAATATAGTTAAACCAACTAGCCCACCTTAATATTTTAGTATATTGTCTCTGCATCATAACAAATTATAATTAACGTCTGCGATTTAACTCAAAGAAACTCTATTTACGCTGCAGGTATGCTGGCAACAAAACCTGCATTCGAGATGTTGCAGGCCGCTTTGACATGGGGGAAAGCACCCTTTCCCGCATCCTGAATCGTGTGGCTGAGTTCCTGTGCAGCATTGCTCCAGATGAGATCCGCTTTCCTGACGATGTGGCAGCCCTTGCCAAGGATTTTGAGGAGGTTCGTTTTGTGAGCTTGCTTATTTACGTATGCTGCTGCTTCAATATTATTGGGACAATTTCAGGAGCGGGGCAAAAAAGAAAGAGATAATATCATACAAACAAATGATTGAACAAAATCAGAACAAGTTCAAAACAAGATCAAATAGACAAGAGCAATGAAAGGCAGTCAGAAATTGCTTGAAATAGGCCATGCATGCAATGATACTAGGTTGGGAACATAATTAGTTTACACAAACTTAATGGCATTAGTGTGACCCAAGTACACTCACATGAAATGCCACTGACGAGGCGCTTCATTTTGGTATAAGTTAATTCAGGGACAAAAGCAAACTATTCATTTCAATCTGTGTTTTGCAGAACTGGATGACACAGTCACGTCGATTTCGGTGTTGTAGGACCGTAAGCACTCGATTTGTGCTTATGGCAATTATTGCCTGGGCAAATATTTGGGTAGTGATTCGTGAAAGTACAATCACTACTTGTACAAGAATAGGCAAACTTCAACCATGTCTGGAGCTCAGTATGCACCTTGTGCTTTGCCAACCCTAAAGCATGGCAATGATAAACATTGATAACATATAATCTGAACCAAATCATATGAGGCCACTTGTTCTGGCAGTAAGTTGGGGGGGTGATCATTGCCTGTCTAAACTTTTCGTGCAACTGTCTATGAAGAGCAAAGCTAATGCATAAATTATAAGTAATGGATGTCAAGGGGGATGCTTTATGGCAAGTTCAGACCAGAATTAAAGGTTGAAAGTTGGTTAAAAAAATGTTTTACTGGCGACCAATGAAGCATACGACATATGGCTGCATGCAAGGAACTCCCCGAGGTGTTTGTAGATTATGTGTTCTAATAATTTGCATATAAGGGGAGTGTGATTTAAGAAGATGGGTCTGTAGCTTGACAATGCATTTTCTAAATTTATAGAATAGAAGGACTTTCGCAAGTTTCCATGAAGATGAAAAGGGAACTGCAGCAGTTGGTAGCAATTTCTTAAAAATAACCGCAAGGCAGTGTATTTCTGGCGGATGAAAATATTTGCATCGAGTCAGTTTTTTCAGGTTTCTAGAAACTGAAGAAACAGTACAGGTGATTACACACCTTGCATATATTACAGAAAATTACATTGTCAAAAAGACCCTTGACAGGTGTTGTATAACTGGTGTAGTGGTCTGCCTCAAAGTTTGAAATAAAAAGGCCACCTTTCATTTATTAATTTATTTCCTTTGATGGGCAGACTACATATAGCATCTCTCCTTTTAGAACTTGGTGGGAATGAGTACACAGCGCATAGTTTGAGCTCACATACCACATTCTTTTACTAGGTTTCAGGCTTTCCTGGGGTCGTGGGTTGCGTCGACGGCAGCTACATCGGCATCCGGTGCCCTGACAACAAGGTGAAGTCAACATATGTCAATCGACATGACAAGACTTCACTGACGTTGCAGGGCATCTGTGATCACAGACGCCGCTTTGTGGATGTTTTCACGGGCCCACCAAGCAAGATTCACGACTCAAGGATTTATAAATTATCGTTTGTGTCGCGGATCATCCCATTTCTATGCTGCATGGGCAAGTATCACCTTCTTGGCGATGCAGCATACCCGTCGAGGGAGACTTTGGTCACTCCTTTTCGGGATTATGGGACATTAACTAACCAGCAGAAGAGCTTCAACACTAAGTTGAGCTCCACAAGGGTGCTCATTGAGAATGCCTTCGGGCTACTCAAACAGCGCTTCAGGCAACTGATAAACCTGGAGTTCCCGACAGTGCGCCGAATGTCCACGTTTATCATTGCTTGTTGCGTCTTGCACAACTTGTGCATTGATGCTGGGGACACTGAAATCCGTGATGCTGAGGTGGAAGAGCTGAGGCGCCAGGAGTTGCTCAGGGTGGACAGCAGGGGCTCGCCCGAGGAGGACCTGCCGGGCGTCTCTCTCTCGGATGCCGCACTCAGGGTGCTCGGACGCATTAAAAGGGACAGGCTGGTCTCATCCCTTTTCCCCACTGGTTGAGCTCCTCGCGCAGGCATCAAGCGCTCAATGGCGCCCTGAGGCAGCTCCTGATAGCCTAACTATGCAAGTGCCAGGCATTGGGGAAAAACGTTTACCGTGTTTTTTTCACCGACAAACTAACTCTGTGTTTCTCATCAATGCTCACTCTTCACGCAAATATGGTGCTGCGGTCCGGAAAAGTTGCCAAAGTTTCAGACTTTGCCGTCGCTATTAAAGTTATCAGCAGTTTTCTGAAATTTTCATTGAGAAAAAGGAGTATAAGGGGGGGGGGGGGTCGGTATGAGGCCCACGAATACATGGTAATAAGGGGTGTCGGCTACCTAAAGCAAACTCCATTTTCACATCTAAAATTAGCAAAAAAATGACATAACTTTAACAGATAACAGCAACCTCCGTTTCGACATCGAGCAGAGACCAATTGTTCGGTGACGCAGTTTATTTTTTGCGGTGAAAAGAACACTAAATATTTTTCCTTGGAAACAACTGTACATGGGTAACTTACTCTGTCATGAATGTTACCTTTTAATATCATTTAAGGCATGAAATTGTGTTGAAACCAAAACGTTTTTATTAATTGCTCAATCAACATGTATAATCTTGAGTATATATATAACAAATGATGCTCTGGAGTATGTAGAAAACTAGGGTATGTACAAAACGTGAATAATCAAGTGTAATGGGCTAGAGAAACATTTAGATAAAATTAATCACTTTGCAGTGTTCATGGTGTCCAGCACTCGCTCCAGCATGCCAAGAAGATTTTGGTGCCGCTCTTGACGCTGTTTTGCACGATCCTCTCTCTTCTTTTCCCGCTCTTCTCTACGCAGATCGCGCTCCACACGTCTTTCTTCGCGTCTTTCCTCCTTGCAGGCACGTGCTTCATCTTTTTTTTTTCTGAGATCCTCCATTTTTGAAAAAAAGTGTTCCATATGCCGCATGCGCTCAGGGTTCTGCCGTGGACAGGGTGGCTTTTTTAGGGTGGTACATTCTGCTGATGTTGATGGTCTAGGATTTTCTGTGGAGGAGGCTGGTGCATGTAGAGTCGTTTGTTTGTATACGGCCTGAGAAACGCCCATCATCACTTCCGGCTCCACACTGTCATCGGCTGCCCTGATGAGATTGAACTCTTCTTCAAACTCTATGTGTTGCCGCGTTGCTCCACTTTTTCCATTGCTGTCCACAACCTTGGTTTTTCTTTTCTTGAGGGTTTTGAAACGTGTGTCACATTGCTGTGCAGTGTAGTGGGAGTTCATCCTCTCATTTATCTCTTCAGCAATTTTAATAAACATGTGTTTTCTTGTCTTAAAACGTTTAAATGGTCCAATCTCTGGGAAATATCGAGAGTAGAGGGCAAGAAGAAGCTTGGATTCGCCTTCTGACCAGATGCAAGCTGAAAACAAAAACACAAAATTGTTGAATAACCTAATAAACTGGGCATTCTTTCGATGCAGCTTGAAGGTGCTGGGCTTATATGGCATATTTGTGGGGTTTCTTATGTAGTATGCAATTAAGGAATGTTTTAATGCTCTGCATGAATAGGGTACCTGGCAATGACGGTAAATGAAATAAGCTTGCAAGACCGTGACAGGTCCAAGCGGAAATTGAATACCAACTACGAGAAACTGTCGAGAATGTTTCAAGGGGCATAAATGGGATGCATGATGCCGAATTGCCAAGTAAAAATATCATGCTGACCAGCTTCACTACTGCACTGGCAAAATTGGCTCCATGTTGCAAAAGGTCATGGAACATTAACCATGCAGCCAATTTGTCACCACTCTGAGTAAAACTTACATCCTATAGCATTCACTGTTAGCATATACCTTCAGCCACGGAGAACTGACTTATGAAGCTTTGTAATCCAAGTGAAGGGTATACTTTGTATGGGTATATGTATGACTTACGTTGAGTACTGGAGTTCTGTGTGGAGTTCTGTGGCGTACCGTCGGATTCTTCTGGTACAGGCAGAACGCCAGCGTAGCTTCCACCATTGTGGTCATTTCCTGTTGAATCGTAGGGCGCACCATTGATTAATGTGGCATCAAAATAATTGCAAAAGGAAATGAACATTCCTGCAACCATTCACCATACAATTGTTTTTTTTTTTGTTTTTTTTTTTCTTTTTTTTAAATACTGCAGCTTAGATATGTGGGCCAATTGTCATAGCAGCTATAGGTGTGGCTAGACAGAAACAATATCGTTTTAGCACCATATGAAACCAAGCACAGCTCCTGACAGATTGAAGTATTCGCATTTACTTGTATAGGAAAAAAAGAATACGGGAAAGCATCATGCTCAAGTCTATTGGAAAACGCACGTAGTTCGTGTTTCCTTAATTTTGACCGCAAGTTAATTAGATCAAGACATCCGATGCACGGATGTTCTGTGACTTCATGTCGTAACTTGACGTCATTAGCAGACGAAAAGCATCATGCTCAAGTCTGTACTGGCGAAACCATAGTTCGTGTAGTTTTAACCGCGAGTTAATTACGTCCCGACATCCGATACACGGATGTTTCTGTGACTGTCGTAACTCGACGCAGACATAAGCGCCCGCAACATATAACGCAACGTAAGAAAATAGTACTGCGTGAACGTACTTTAAGTACAAATTCTTCATCTGTTAGAACTGTTATATTTAGTTTACCTCCGCTGACCAATTATTTTGCAGTAGTTGATAAGCGAGCGGTCACATCGCAAATCATATACACAATAGTAACTGGAATAATTAGAAGACAACGCGCCAAATACTCCGGTGATGGAGATCGCCTTCGGAGCTGACGATCGCTTTACGGCATACGTGTTTGGTATTCTGCTTAATTGCATCCTACGGTTCGTACAAGTACTTCTAGTTGTCTTCATCGGGTTTATAAAACTGTAAGGAAAAATAAATTGCCTCTTACCATCGGGGTCACCGTTGATCACATAATAAACAACCTGGGGTGCTTCCGATCCGGAGTTCATTCTCTCAGCAAGGTGGCAAAGGGAACCGAAACTGTTAAAAAGCGCGGGTAGACGCTCCGAAAGCGGTGGCGCTGGGAGCGTTACGCTCGATTTGCTCCGCAGCGCGTGCCACTGGGGTAGATCACGTGACCGATCGCTCGCGGAGGCCGACCGCTCGACGACCGCTAGGTCGGAGCGCTCGGCATTTGCCAGGGGAAGGGACTATTAGTGTGCGAGGCTCTGGTAACGTAATAGAAATATAATCACAAAAAAATGTAATCAGCTCGGACGTAATAGGTGAAAAAAGTACAGAGCTTCAAGCAGCTTTTTTTGTCAATTACATTTTGGTATAGACCAACAAAGAACCGAGACGACCAAGACGCGCAGCACTAGCTAGAGAATATTTTATTGTTGCAACTAGTGATGGGACGAATCTTTATCCGAATCGAGATTCGGAGCCGAATCTGAAGATTCGGAAAGATTCGGAAAAGTAGCCGAATCTCAAGAGATTCGGAAAAGTTCGGAAAAATTCGGAGCGTTGCCATGGTGTCCAGATTACGTTGATGAGTGTTTCAACTTTTCGTGATATTAAATTCACTAATATCTACAAAGTGCAAAAAATATTGTCGTAATATAATATCATAGTAATAAATAAAATGTTCCGCTCTGTTTATAATATTTCGGATGTTTGTCGAGAACGGTAACCAGTCATCGCGGGAGAATTGGTTTCGGTTCCGGATTACGACGTGGAAAGACAAGCGCATGTTTTCATCGTCCCGGCCCCGGCGCTTCGGCCAGTTCGGTGACAGTCGGTTCTGGCGCAGGCGGATTGACGCGTGAGTTTCTTGGACACCACCAGGAACCTCCGGCGTTGTCGGCGGGGTAATGGCAGTGACCACCGCGGCTGCCCTTGCGGCGAAACGCAAGCGCGATAAGTTCCTCGTGGATTTCGTTAGGCTTGGCGTGGCCGCCCCAGCCCGGCGGGATTCGGCGGACGTGCAGCCGGTGCAGCGGCGGGTCGACGGAGCGATGTTATGTTTACGCGAAGATCACATTCTCGTACTCCGGGGTTCCCGGAGTCCGAAGACGTCCACCATGCTCGTCCAAAGTTCGCAGCTGTCCTCCCTCCCTCCCCCTCCCTCCCCCCCCCCCCCCCCCCCCCCCCCCGGAAGAGATCGATGCCGTACGTGCGTGGTTCAAACCACGACCGGGTTCAAACAGATTTCGTGTCCATTATTACGGTCATAGTAGCACACCCCACACAAGTGAGTATGTTCGATTCGATTATCTTCAACGTGTGTCCACTCCGGTATTGTTATCGGAACACGGGAAACAACCTAAAACTCCTTGCGCTGTACTATTCTTCTGTACTGCATTTGTACCTTTCTGTTTAATGATACGGTATCTGAATTAGTGTCTGTTTCTGAACAATAAAGTTGCGGTGGATACCCCTGTGTTGTTTCTTTTTCATCAAATAAAGTTCACGTATACAAAACTTGCTGCCGAGATCGAAGAAACGACAGTGCGACGTTTTTCTTCGCCGGTGTCGGTACGCGGTCGAAGTTGGGATGAGCAATACTTTTCATCGCTCTCGCGTCTTATACCCCTGTCAGACGGGCTAGTTTAGTGTCACTACAAGCGAGTGCACTTCAACCCGTCGAAACACACTACAAGTGTGTTGGTGCTACACGGGAAAACTTAGTGTCACTCCAAAATGATGGCAATGACGATGGGTAAGTAATGGGCACGCAACATATTACAGTGCATACGCATTTTTTCATAAATAACTTCGTCGTCTTATTAGAAACATGTTACCACACATTGTTGCGCTAAGTCACGAATTTGAATCCAAATTTAAATCCAATTTGATCATTACGTTCAGCCATTTCAAGCCAGTGATACATGTCCGCACGCCGGTACGATACTCTGTTTCACCTTCTGTACCGCAGAAAAGGCTACAAGCGCGAGCTCCTTGCTCTAGGCCACATCAAGGCGGCACAAGCTCTCGTGCGTTAAGAGTAGCTCCCAACGCTATGAGCTCGCGCATCTAGCCTTGCCTGCGGTACAACATAAGGTGAAACAGAGTATAGATCGAAATGAGCAGAAGTAGGGATTGAGCCCAGGATTCCTGGGTTCTGCAGCACGAGCTTTCGCTCCGCGTGCTCCGAGCTGGTGTGCGCGAGCCCACCCGGCCACTCGCCACAATGAAGCATCATGGAGTCTGCGCAGGACGAGCTGGAGTGCGAGATCCGCGATGTTGGACAGTGAAAGCGCGTGGTTGGGCATTTTTCTCCGTGAGAGCCCAACGCCTTTCGGATAAGAGGAAGTTGGACCTAGATGCCGACGCACAGGCAAGAATTTCAAGTGACATCGATCAGCAGCCTCAGGTTAATGCCTTCACCGTAGCCGCTCTCATGACCGACCACTATACACGTGATCAGTCGAGAACGGTGGACTTTCCAGAGGAGCGAACGGTGGTTCGAAGAAACCTTGCCCCATTTGGGCGAGTTCTATTTCAAGCAAGCCTTTCGCGTCTCTCCTGCCATCGCGTAGGGGTTAAGGCTGAAAACTAGGTTAGCCGCTTGTTTTTCTACAATGCACTACTTTCCTGCCTACAGGAAACAAGTGCGCATCTAATATTACTCCTATCAAAATAATACTAATTTTACGCAGCGTTAATTTCTTCTATTATTTTAACTCCTTGAACACTGCTATCGAGATTACACACTTGGTCTACCGGAGCGAGCGTAGTGGGCTCCCCGAACTCACTTCACTGGAATTGTGTTCTTCGGGCAGGGCTGGGGATTGAGCTCAGGATCACTGGGTTCTCCTTCTCCAGCGCGAGCTTTCTCTGCACGTACTTCGATCAGGTGGGCGCTTGCCAACTCGGCCACCGATACCCCTTAATAAAGACACGGTAAAAAAATTTGACGTTTACAATTCTCTGTAATGCCGAATTGGAGCGCAGCTCTTGAGGAGGAGGGAAGAAGGGTACGAAGGGGAGGGTATGCCAGCTGCTCCCCCTCCGTACCCTCCCATCCTCCTGTCCTGTTCCCATCTCACTTAGTGTAAAATGTTTGATAAATTTCCCACTAAATTTAGCCGGGAAAATTTCCCGCTGAATTGACGTGTGACGTCACATGACACGTCATCTGAAATATTAAGTGTGACGTCACGTGACGTCACACGGGTAAAAGTTTTACTCTAAATTTAGCGGAAAAATTTTCCGCCAAACATAGCAAAAACTTTTACCGCAAAATTTAGCGGGAAAATTTTACCCTCGTGACGTCACACGTGACGACACACGTGACGTCACGTGTGACGTAATTTTGGGAACAGCCCTTAATGCAACGCGCGGTTACGCCGACGCCGCTCAACCCAAAAGCGGGTGCCTAGGAGCTGTGCTCTAAGACAACGTTACATTGATGAATGATTTTTATGCCAATCGGATGATTCTGATCGATCATCCCAAGCTAAGATAAAGAACGAAGCATATCCAACTTTGGCGTTCCACTTCGTTCCACGGAAGTCTACGAGGAGGCCCTGACACTGCCAATTCAAATTATAATTATCGTGTTGTCTCGAATAGTTACATGCTGAAACAAAAGTAGGTTCTATCATTCTCTACTAACCAAGATAGCCATGAATGACTGACTTTGTCGTCGTCTTTTATCAATTCAGCGCTCCGCTAATCTTGATTCAGATCAGCCTAAACTCCAAATCCACCCCACTATTTTTTTTTTTTTTTGCAATGCCACTCTTCTACATGTCGTCTCTTTCACGAATATCCTTTTCTTCAAAAAATAAAACTTACGCCACGTTTTTTTGTTTCTGTGTTGTTATGTTTTACTGTGTAAACACTCCTATTGATGCCACGCACTCGATCGAGCGAAGTGAGTTCGTCAAACTCACTCCAAGCCAAGTGTGTTCCTTAGGAATGAGTCGTGTGGCACACTACAGAAATGACACTACGGGCGAAGTGCACTCGCTTGTAGTGACACTAAACTAGCCCGTCTGACAGGGGTATTACGCAGCTCTGGAGGAGACGAATCATTTCCTTGCCAAAATATATTTATTGCGCGTTGCGCCACATTATCTATAATACACAGCATTTTGCTAGATTTTACTTTAGCGATCACCGCGAAACCGCGCCGAAACCGAGACCGTGCATTGATTAGGCCTACGCCA